GCGGAGTACGTGGTTCTGAACTGGAACAGTCGGTGCATCGATGCGGGAATGGAAGTCAAATTGTCCCATAAGACGCACATGGCTCTGGCACGTTTGAGTTGCGTGCTCAGCAGTGCCCCAGGGGATGAAAGAACGATTGTCGATGATTATGTGCACACACCGGAGGTTATTGAGGACTACGTGACGCAGTACAGTGGTATTCATCCCGGGGATCTGGACCCGCTTAAATCCACAAAGTGCTTGACGAGCCGCAAAGCAACGTACTTGAAGCTGCGTGCATTGGTGGATCGTGGTGTGATATTTGTGGGTCACGGTTTGTACCAGGACTTTCGTGTGTGCAACATTGCGGTCCCTCCAGAACAAATCATTGATACTCTCATGATGTTTCACAAGCCTGGCGGCCGGTATCTTTCGCTCCGCTTTCTTGCCTACCATGTTCTGGGGGAGCGTGTGCAAGAAGACGAGCACGACTCTGTTGAGGATGCGCGCACCTCATTGCGCCTGTACCGCAAGTACCAGCAGCTGATGAGTGAAGGGACATTTGACGCCGTCCTGGACAAACTGCTGGCAACCGGAGCAGAGACAAGTTGGTACGTTCCAGAGGGCCGTGATGCCTTTGGCGCGTCTCCTGCTCTCTTTGCTGGCATACCGGGCTCGCTACTCTTTCCAGAGTCTCCCTCAACGCTGGTACCGACAGAGGCCGTTAAGGACGATGAATTCCCCTCCGCATCGTAAAGATAAATTCAAAATTGTGCTTTCTCCACCAACCACTCCCTATAATTGTTCGTTTTTTGCTCCCCGCCTTATTCTTTCCTCGCATTTTTTTTTTTTTTTTGTTTGGCTCCAATAAGTGAGTGGAGGGAAAGGACGAGGAGGAGAGGAGGAAATGATTGTTGGTAGTGATGGCGCTGGAATAGAAGGAGGAGATGAGGGGTGCTTCGCCTCTCTTCTTTCTACATGTTTGTCTTTTTCAGTCTCTCTGATTTTTGGGTCTGCCGCACCCGCTTTTTGTCGATATCACAAATACACAAAAACAACAACAACAAAAAAGATGCACACACGCAAAGACACTCAGTCTCCAAACGTGCCGCTGTTTTTTTTTTTTTTTTCCTTAATTTTTTTTTCCCGCCTTTTTTCTTTTTTTTGCGTTATTTTCCTCAAACCACGCGTTTTTTATTTTTATTTTTGTTGGTGGCACTTGTTTGCTCAAGAGAGGGAGATTCTTATAGAGGGATTGAGAGAGGTGGGGGGTAAAACGAAGGCATGAGCGCAGGGATCCTGGGAAAGACACACGCGGGGGTTCCGTCGTACCGAAGCGGGTATGTGTCCCCCTCCGGCACCAAAATACAGTACAGCAACGACTGGGTGAAGCACCATCCGCTTGAGGGCGATGGGCTGCGACCGCTTCTTTACCTGCACCTGTGGAAAAAGAATAAGGGCAGTGAGAGCCGGCTGAAAGACATACGCCTTCCCGATACCGTTGTGTACGAGCACAACTTCCCCCGCGCCTGGTACACCTACGACGGGGAGGCGAAGGAAATCAACAAGCACCCGGGCAAGATGCTGGATGCCCAGTCCATCTACGAGCACTTCAGCCGTTCGACGCCGGACTGCGATGTGGTCGCGCAGTTCCTCACCACCTGTGCCCAGGACAACCCCGCCATCTCGTCGGAGGGCGGGCTGCTCACGTACGTGAAGTTTTTTACCGCAGAATCCCTCCGAGAATTTCTTTTTTGCCCCGAACGCAAGCCAGACGGAATTCTTCAGAAGTTTGTGGTGCCCAAAGGGGAGACGACAATGCGGAAAAACTCGCAGCTCCAAGTTATGTGGTCACCACTTGTGACGGTGGTGTACAAGCGGACGAATAAGCAGCGGCTGGGTGACTTGCATCTTCCTGTCCACCTGCGCTCGGCCACGTTTGATGGGGATTGCCACCTGAGTGAGTTGTCTCTTATTGCGGACGAGTCCAAGGCGAGGCTGGAGTCTCTTTGCCGCGAGGTGGTTGACCACTTTTACTTCACGGATCTTAAACTAATTACCCGCATGGTGCTGAACTTTAAAATAGATGATGCCAATCGACCGTGGCTGCTCTGGTGCAGCTCTCTTCGTGTTTCGGGTGATAGACTGAACCCTCGGAACGTGCGGGTTCCAGTGGCACTTTCTATGCCAATTGAGGTGTTAAACGAGGGCTCATCCACGCGGGACCGCATTATTAAGAGTAGAGATCGACAGCAACAACTGTTGTTGTTGGACAAGCAACTCTTTGAACTCTCACGAGACTATGATTTTGGCCATCATTGCAACGATTCACATGTACGTGAGGCAAAGCGTCTGGGCCTTCAGCCTCTGAGTGAGAAGTCGAGTCCGAATGGTCAAGGAAAAAGTCTCTCGCGACGGAATCCACCGCATCCCTTGCACGATGCAATGCGATACCTTCGAGTATTATCGACGGAGCCTCAGGGTGCGGATTTATCCAATCGCAGTCCGTCTTCAGCAGCGCAACAACAGGATCAGCAGCGGCGCTCCCGTAATGGCTCTGTGCATCAGAGCCAGGCAACAATTGATGATGCTGAGGATCGAGTTAGAAGTGAACTTACTGCCATGGCCCTTGATGCGTGGTACACTGTATATTCCTCAGCGCTGTCGAAAAATCCAACCTACATGCCGACGAAGGACGTGTTTTTGGCGGAGCCACTCGTGGTGTCGCTGCAGCCGCCTGAGCTTGAAAGACTTGTAGTTATTCTCGGCCTTGAACGGAACCCAGTTTCTGAAGATCCACGCAGTTTCATGGTAAATTCGGGTCTTATTGGAACTGGGCGACGCTTAGATCGTCCTTTTATCAACGCGGAGCGTGATGTAAGAGAATTTTTTGATGAACTTTTTGCTTCCAGGGGCGGAGAGATTACACAGCAGTGCCTGGCAAATGATCGTTGGATTTGGTGAGCAACACCGCCAAACACGACGTCAAGTGTAACTCATCTTATCTTGGCCACCGCTTTGTCACCGGCTATAGAAGTCTACGGACAGTTTGCTTAAGAGTGGAAGCAAAGAGGGAAAGGGATGTGCGTCTGCCTGCTTGTCTTCATGTAAGTATGTGCACGTGTGACGTCTTGAAATGGAGTTCATCAGTTGTTTGGGGCTGCGTTGGGGTTTTTTCTTTTTTATTTCTTTCTTGCATCCACCCTTTTTTTCTTTTTTTCCTTTTTTTGCTTCACGTATTGAATGCGTTGCTCCCGAATAGTGGTTGGGGCACCATTCGCTACTGTACGCGCTTATTATTATTATTTATTTATGCTAAGCGGCCCTGTGGAACTGCCGGGGAATATCATCCGTGGGAGCACCACCTTCTGCTTAACGCGTGTGGGCGATCGGGCGTATTACGTTCCGCGTGGGTGTACGCTGGAGGACAAGCTACACTGCTGGCGTGTAAAGGCCGACCATGAGACGGGGCGCATCTTCTTTGTGAACTGCGGAGGTCTGGGGCCGAGATGGACGCTGCCCGACACGCTTGCGAATATCGATTTGTTGACCACTGCGGGGCCAGATGGCAGCCGCCATCGCCCTTCCTCTTTGCCTGGGTCATCACCAACTGCGAGGCATGCCGCTGCTGACGCTGTGGCGGCGGAAGCGAGGTCCCTGGTAGAATTGAGCAGCGGAAGAAAAAAAGGCAATGGCAGCGACACAAAATCTTTTTGGGATTTGTCGCTGGCTGGAAAATCATTTCTTTGCTCGGGCAAACAACCCCTTCGTGTTCACTCCAATGGGAAGAGAGTTGCTGACATTTACGTTAACGACATCGCATATCTGCGGTCATTTGACGAGGAAGGAAAATCACCAGCGTCTTTTGAGACTGCACTGCACGGCGAATTTGAGAACGCCAGAACGCCCCTCGAAGGCAGATGTGCCGAAACATCTTTGCTCGAGGCACAGTTACGGAGGAGAATTGAGGACTATGCCGAGGAGGTCACCACACTTCGTCGAAGGCTGGAAGACCAGGAGCGCCTCTTCATGGAAAAGGAACTGGCGCTGGTGGAACTGGAGGAGAGAATAGTGAGCATGAGGCTACACATGGTGGAGGCTGTGAGCGCGTATCGCCAGAACACATACTCGTGGCAGTCATAATGAGGGTGTGACACCCTCCTGGAAAAGGAGGGGAAGCATTGCATTTGTGTGCATTTAATTATTTCTTTATGTGTATGTGTGTGCACATCTCAATTATGCCTTCTCCCTCTTTGTTTACATGAACTTCTCTCCCATTTCTTTTTTAATTTATCCTCTTGTTGGTGAGTTTTTTTTTTTTTTTTTTTTTTTTTTGGCGTTTACGTCACGCACAAACACGAAATAACGTCAGGCAGACAATCTGTTTAGATACCGATGTCTAGTGGCACCACGGGCTACCACCCGGTCTTTGCCCCCCGCTTTGCGGGGGAGTTTGAGGAGCCATTGGTGCGGGTGCAGGGGTACACAGAGCCAAGGCTCACTTTTGTTCAGCACGCCGCCGTCGTTTTGGGAGTTTCCGCCACCACCGCGTTTCTGAAGCGTCCCATCGTCAAATTTGACTCCTTCTATTTTTTAAGTGATGTGCCGGGGGAGTCCAACCGCATCTATGCGTCGGACAAGCGCGCACAGTTCTTTCGCACACTATTTAGCGTGCGCTGGTTTTCCGGGCCGTCAGTATTGTGGAGCATGTCCGAGTACGTCTTTCTTCTTGCCGTCTTCACCTGGCTGCGCGAGGTGCTGTCGTGGGGCAGTAACACTCCGAGGGGGTTTGCCGCCGGTAGTCTTACCGGAGTGGCGTATGCAGCGGTACGGCACCCGTACGACGTATTACGTGCAACGTCAGAGACCACTGGGGGGCCCAAGAAATTTAGAGGCGTGGGAGATGTTTTTAGGACGGCATTACGAGAGAAGCCCTTTGCACTTCTTGGACTTTACCGTGGCTTTGCTTCTGCGGCGTGTGGTAGGCTCTTGCAGTTTGGCGCTCAGTTTGGTGTGTACAACGCAACACGGTACGACGGTGTATATCGCCAGACATGTGTTTTATTTTTTTACTGCCATCTGGGTGCAATTCTGGGGCTCTTTTTGCAGTATCCCCTTCTGTCCGTCAAGTATCAGCTGCACATGCGCAACCAGTTCACGACGGGCAGGCCCCACACATATCGATCATACATTTTGGAGGTGCGGGCACGGCACGGCATTACCAAAATTTATAGTGGTTTCTTCACCAGTCGGCCCATTCTCAACGCCGTTCCAGCGGCTCTGTTGATGACGCTTTACGATGTGTGCGCACGTAGGTACACGGAATTCCTGCACCCGGAGCTGCAGAAGGTACATGGGGAGGTGGATCAGCCGATTTTCGGCGTCCGCAGCGCCCCATACGTGAGTTCACTTCCAAAGTACGAGTTTGCGCGAAAAAATGATTTATGATTGTGCGGCGTGGCGAAGGGCAATAGCAGCGGTAGAGCGGCCATTGAAGCACTGCAATTCCTCCTCCCCTCTACGGAAAAGGGCACAAATGCCATTCCCGCTGTTGTGTTGTATTTGACCCCTCTTGTCACTGAAAAATATATATGTACATTGTCTCTGTCTGTCTCTTTCTTTCTTTCTTTCTTTTTTCTTCTCTTTTTATTTGGGAGGTGAGGTTGCGTGCGGATTGTCTGCTTCCGTCGTGGGCATTTTTGCCCTTGTGACGAAATGGATTTCTTAAAGCGAACATTTGCCGATACAAGGCTGCGGTATCATGTATCAAAGGTACTTTTTGCGGCTAGCACTTCTTCCGCAAAGCTATCGACGGAGTGTCTTTTGTTAGCGGAGCAGCACCCCACTCTAGTATTAGCCGTTCTACGCGAGAACCTTCAGCCGGGTTCTCACCAGTCGTACGCGTACTTGCTGCTACTTGAGAAAATAGTGGATGCCTGCAGTTTCTCCTTTCACGCAGCGATGGCGCTTGACTGCACTCTTCACGACAAACTAGTGAAACTTGCCACCACAAGAGCGGAGGGCGAAGAGAATCGAAAAGTCCGTCGTTTGGCGCGTCTGACATTGTTGGAGTACTCACGGATGTTTGTGGACGTTCCCGAATTGAAGAGCCTGTCGAGACTTGCAGGTTGTGTGGAAAAAATTACTGGCAGGAGTTTGATGCGGTCCATTGAGGTGGAGAGTAAGAAGGTCACTTTCGTTGACCCGCGGCCAGAAGACATTATTTTGATTAGTCCCACTGAGGTGCCTGCTAAGGCCTCGCTCCCGCCATCGCGAAAGCCGGCGGTGTGGTCCTGCCATGTGTGTACATACATAAACAGGCCGCACGCCACGGTGTGTGTTGTGTGCAGGACGCCGAAGGCAACGCGTCCCACCTCTCCACCGGTCCACAAGGCAATTAATGGGAAAACTGTGCCCGCGGCTGAAATTCTTAACGGGACCGTATGTCATGAGGAAAGAAGCGGTGATGAAAAGACTGCGACGTCACCGGACAGGAATGGCTTCTTTGCACCGGCTCCACTTCAAAAGGGCGAGGGGAGTGGGACTACAGGCAATACCTTGGTAGGAATTGTCGCTCCCCATCCCAGAGCATGAGGCATGATTCATCGTGCAAGGGCACCATTTTCTTTTTTATTCACTTTTATGGAATCCCTTTCCATCTTTCCCACAGCGTTTTCTTATATACATACATGGATATATTCAGATATATATATATATATATATAATGTGTATTTGATAGTTGATGGTGATTATTTCGCGCTGCATTTCGATTGCTTTTGTTTCTGCAGCGAGTGCGGATTTGGCGTTTGCACGTTTTATTTCTTCCTTGCTTGGATTTAAACCCCGGTTGGCTGCGTACATGCTTCGTGTTTTGGTTTTGCTGCGGAGTTTATTTGGGGGCAGAGGAGGGAACGCGGGACGTGAGTGCGGCTTCGCCCTTTTGGGGGGAGAGGTGACGAAACTGCGTATTTCTTCCTATTCTTGTCGCCGCTCATGTAGCCAAAATAAAATCCGTGAAGCAAAAGGAAAACCGGGGAAAAAAAGGCCCTTTAAAAGAAAAACAAAAAAAGAATTAATACCGGAGGAAAATAAAGTGGGAAATCACCGACGGGAGGGGGGTGGAGAAGAAAAGAAGTGGGGTGGGGGTGAAAGCACGTCGTACTAAACGATGAAATTCACTGCGCAAGAGGCAATCGCATATTTGCAGCGGTTTGTGGAGGGGGAGAGCGACCAGAGGTTTTACGTGGCTTCAGAGCCCAGCCCGGCCGCCAATGCGCGGGCCCTCTCTTTCATGGAGTCTTGCTGGAACTCGGCGGTGCAAAAAACAAGAGAGGCCACTTCGACAACGTCAGACAGGGCTCCTTCAGCCAGCAAGCATGCAAATAACAAGAGCGGCGGTGCGGTTGGATCCGCACCAGTGGAGCGCCCTCAATCTTCTTTAGACAATTTACGGGAAAGAGCTTCAGTTGTGTTTCACGATATTCCACCAGTTGCGGCTCAAACAACGAGTTTAAAGAGCCCAGACGATGCTGGCGGGTTTTTCTCTACAGCGGTTGTGCCTGCAGAACAAGGCACGAGCGGAAGAATTGGCCGCAACGGTATCGCATGGGTCGTTTTGTGAGTGGCTGCAACGTGCCTTTGCCCTGTCTTTTTCACTCCTTCTATTTTGTAGCTTGCTTCTATATACATGTGCTTTCTTTTTTATTTGTGTTCCTTTTAACGTCATCCAAATAAGTCTTGAGGCCTTTTGCTGAAGGGACTCGTTTGTCGCATTATCTTTTTTATTTTATTTTTCTTTTGCCTCATCTATTACATTCTCTTGAGCTTTTTTTCTTTTTTTTTTGTTTGGATTTGTTGGAACATGCGTAAGCGTTGCTCAGGATGCCGAAGGAGGCACGCACGGTTCCAATGGGTGTCATCACCGCGGAGCCGATACACGCGACCTCAAAGAAGTTGAAGTTTGCCACGCGGGTTTCTACTTTGGGGAAACCGGCGGCCCGCAAGGCGTCGAAAAAGAGTGCGATGGTGGGACTCAAGACGGGCGGCAGTCAGTGTGGCATGGTGTTCAACAAGGGCTTCGGGCAGCACATTCTGAAGAATCCGCTTGTTATTGCTGCCATTGTCGAGAAGGCGGCGATTAAGCCCACCGATGTGGTGCTGGAGATCGGCCCGGGCACGGGGAATCTCACCGAGAAGTTGCTGCAGGTGTCTAAGAAGGTGATCGCGTTCGAGGTGGATTCGCGTATGGTGGCAGAGCTCAACAAACGCTTTCAAAACACCCCTTTGGCGTCGAAGTTGCAGGTGATTCGGGGAAACTGTCTCGACCACGAGTTTCCCTACTTTGACAAGTGCGTGGCAAATGTGCCGTATGCCATTTCCTCCGCCCTTGTCTTCAAGCTGCTGAGGAAACCGACGTTTAAGTGTGCCGTGCTGATGTTTCAGCGGGAGTTTGCCCTTCGTGTGTGTGCACAGCCTGGCGCTGAGGCGTACTGCCGTCTCTCCGTCAACTCCCAGCTGCTGGCCCGCTGCAGCCACCTGATGAAGATCAGCAAGAACAGCTTTAACCCCCCGCCCAAGGTGGAGTCCAGCGTGATTCGTCTCGACCCAAAACACCCCGCGCCGGACGTGGATTTTGAAGAGTGGGATGGACTCGTCAAGTTTATTTTCAATAGGAAGAACAAGAAGGTGTCGTCCATCTTCCGCACCAAAAATGCCGTTCAGACCCTTTACGAGAAGTACTGCAGTTACCAGAAGATGGAGGGAAAAACAAGTGTCAAGAGTCTTGCCGAATTCAAGGAGCATTTAGAGACCGTGATGCAGGATCCTGTGTTCGAGAGCCGAGCGCGGCTTTTGGACCAGGATAGCATTACAAAACTCCTTTGCCACTTTACGGAAAATGGCATTCACTTTGTTTAGAGAAGGAAAAAGAAGGAACGGAGGAAAAATTGATGTTCCCATTGGAGTAGCTTTTAATCATTGTCGTTCAAACACCTGATGGGGTGCTCCCTACTAACGTTCAACATGGGAGGGGAACCGAAAGGAGGTTGTAAAGAACACACACACATATGTATATATATATATATATATACATTGTGACATGTGTGTGTGTGTGTGGAGAAAAAAAAAAGAAATATAAAAACGTGTAATACCTGTGTTTTGGGCTTTAGCTGATGCGGAGAAATATCTTTCTGAAAGGGAGTTGGCTAGTACTGATACTGTAATTAATTTGGATGATATCATGAAACCAAATCTCTTTTCACTCCGTTACATTTTGTGTTTCTGTCTGTGTTTCTCCAAGAGTGAGAATGTTTGCTTTTTTTTTTTTTTTTTTTTCTTCTTCCTTTTCTATCTTTTTGGAGTGTGGGTGTGGTGGTGGTGGGAGAAGTGAAGCGGCATATATATCCAGCTGTAGATATATATATATATATAATATTATATTTTGAATGCTGCGTCGTGGGTGGGTTGCTCCTGTTGTGGGGCAACGCTTTTCTCCGTTGCGGCTGCAGAATCGCCGGTTTGGGGATAAAATTGTGGTGGGGTCTTGCGCCGCACTTTCCACAAGTGTGACTATTCTTGGCATCTTTCACCTTATCGTGACGCCCGTGAGCCCGGCGATTGCCGCTGCGACTCTTTCAGCGGCAGCGGTGAGCGGGGCACTTGTTGTCTTTGAGGGCGGAAAGAACGAGGGTGGCACGACCTTTGGTGCCGTCATTGGCGTATTCTTCGGTGCGATGGGAGGCTACTACGCCAAGTCCTCCAAGGAACCGTGGCGGAAGTGATACAGCTGACGAGTTTTTTTTTTTTTTTTCGTGCGTGTGTGTAATTCCCTGCAGCGAAGAAGGATGGATAGGGGAGAACTGTAAGAGCGTTTCATTAAGAGGGAGAAAGCCCGCTAGTACTTAACTGCGCCGTTGTCGGTGCCTACTCCTGTGTGTTCTTCTATTTATTTATGAATTGCCGTTGCTCACAAACATAAGAATGCACACAGGTGGCGGTACCTCGATGCATTTAAATGTGCTTTTGCGTTTGTCTCTCGTTCTACTTTTTTTTTCCTTTGATTTACCTTCGCTCCGCTGGGTTTGTTTTTATCAAACTCAGTTGTTTCTTTTCAGTCACAACACACACGCTTATCATCACTGCTGCCATACTGCAGTTTGGAGAAATGCTGCGGCTTAGTTGCCTGCGCAAGACGGCGCTGCCGACAATAATCAATAAAGTTTGTCGCACTCCGGCGTATCTGCGACACGCACCGCCCGGCGTGTACGTTACTTGTGACTTTGAGAAAAGTGCGCGACACACGACGCTTCTCGTGGACGCATCGGTTGAAGGAGAACCCCCTATGACGAATGGCGCCTACTTACTTTCCTCTACAGGGGGCGATGACCTTGCATTTCAGCAGGCACATAGCGTGCTTGTTGGCTTACCTTTTGCACAGGATGCATCGCAGGCGTCACGCTTCCTGGACACTGTGCTGCGTCCCGCCCTAGCACGCAATGGCATGTCGATTCCGTTTGATGGCATACATACAATAGTCCTATTGGAGCTGCACCCCTTTGCCGCGCACGCCGTACAGGAGATAGTCTCTCGCTTGCCGCAGGTAAAGGTGGCCTGTAGTCCATTGATGGCTGCATTTCTATCTGACGCTGACTTTTTTTTGGGCGTGCGAAAGTCTTTGTGTGAGAACGACGCACATCTTCCTGCAAAGTCGATCACATTTGCTGGTGTGCCGCAGTCAAATCTTTCCCTGCTCGAGGATGGCTCCGCGGTTCCGGTCTCCGGCGAATGTCGCCATCTTCTCGTGGCGACGGGCGACCTTTCCGCTGCGCGAGAGAGGTGGCTGCGGGAGCGAAGGAACAAGCTGAAGCATTTTGAATCCTACGCCCTCTTCCTGTACGATCCGTCCTTTTATGCGATGCTTGCCCCCCCTTCTGCCGGTGCACACTTTGATTGGCTGCCTTTCGTCGTCCACGAGGCAGACGCCGCCGCGCTTCTGCCGTTGCCGGACTTCTTTTCTCTGCAGAAGTCGACCGGATCTTCCCTGTTGGAGGTCTGGAGGCTCCGTGAGCACGCGCACCGGGTGATAACCGCGCTGGAGAAGTTTCCGGAGACGCAACGCGTGCTGACTGCGTGCTACGGCGAGGTTTCTGGCGGCGCCGACGGTTACATGGAGCGGCTGGAGCAAACAGTCCAGAAGTTGGAGGAGTTACGAAGTCGTCTCGGCCGCCGTTTGGCTACTGACACCGCGCGGGACGTGGCGAAGTGGAGTGCCGTCATGGAGGAAAAGATTTTGAAGGAAATTGTTTTCACCAAAAAGGCGGAGAAGAAGACGTCGGAGGAGGTGCTTTTGGAGTACAAGCAGTGGGCAAGCGCCTCGTACCTTGGACGACTCTCACGCTCACTCGCTCTAGCGGGCGCAACACTTCCCCCCGACATCCCATCGGAACCGGCCCAAGAGGCATCGCCATCGTCATCGTCATCGTCAGCGTCGAGCAAAGACACAGAGGGGGCGGCCGGCGTGCAGCTGCTAAAAAGCCACTTTGAGAGGCGAGGGATGGCGTCGCTCACGCCCGTCCTGGAGCGGGAGGAGATTGATGTCGTGGTGTTTTTGGCAATGGGTCCAGATGACTTTAAAAAGGTGTTTAAGGCCACGTTTGGTGTGGCCAAGAAGATGGAGCTGCTTCAGCAGGAACTCCGGTCGTCACATTAATGCAAGACATTGGGAAAAGGAGGAATAAAACAAACGGTCCGGATATAAAAATGATTTCTTTTTCTCCCCACGCAAACACACACACACACACACACACACAAGAGACATGCCGGTGTTTTTGTTTTTATTTTTTATTTTTTGTCCGGGGAAACAAATAGGCAAAGAAATCAACAGAAGTGTTTCTTGTGCTTCTGTGTGTGTGTGTGTGGGGAGATATTTCTGGTGTTTCACGTGCACTTCTGGACAACCCCTTTCAATTTGCTTTATCTCGCACCAAAGGCAGGTAGTTTGATTTTGATGAAGCGCGCCAGGAGCCCCTCACCGCAGGCGTTAAGAAACAAGATCTTGCCGGCCTCTTTACTTGCTGAGTGGAAGCTGATTCATGGTTCCGTGTTGGCGTTGCCGCCGTCAGCCGACGTGGTGCGACGCTCACTGGTTGGCATTCCTGGAAAGAGTCTGCGCCTCAAGGTGGCCGCCTTTGACTTGGATGACACACTCATCGTGCCGCGGAGCGGGGCGGTCTTTCCTCGTGACGACCCCAGTGACTGGAAGTGGCTGCTGCCGGTGGTGCCGCAGTACTTACGGCTGCTGTACGACGAGGGCTTCATGGTTGTCATCTTGAGCAATCAGTCCGGGATTGGGGGAAAGGGGTGGAATGTGAAGAAGGCAGAAAGCATCAAGAGGAAGATTGTTGCAATGAGCGAGGCTCTTCAAATGCCACTGACCGCCTTCCTTTCCACAAAGGAGGATGTCTGGCGGAAACCAAACGTGGGAATGTGGAGACTTCTTGAGGAACACGCGAGTGCCGTCGCGGCGGCGAAAATTATTGTTGCCGGCGATACTTCCGGGCACGTCTTTTACGTTGGGGACGCCGCTGGGCGGAAGACCGCCACGTTGGCAGGGCGGAAGAAGGACTTCAGTTGCTCCGATCGCAAGTTTGCCCTCAATATTGATGTCCCGTTTCTCACGCCCGAGCAGTTTTATCACTGCCCGAAGGCGGAGCTGTTTCGCAGTGACGGTCACAGTACCCAAAAGGGAGTGGAGAAATTTATCTCCAAGCGGCTCTTGGCGGCGGCTGATGCACCGTGCGAGGTGGACTGGGACGGATTGGGTCCCAGTGAACTTCAAAGCCTGCAGTCATCGTACGATAACCTCACGATCAACTGCATTAACGCAGATGGGGAAAGATGCACGTTGCAGACAAGTTCACCGGCGGCTTTTCATCGGACGGCGCAGGAAATGGTGATATTTGTGGGATACCCTGGATGCGGCAAAACAACGTTTTTTAACCGCTTTTTGAAGCCGGCCGGCTACGTACACATCAACCGGGATATCCTCAAGAAGAAGGAGAAGTGCCTGTCGGAGGCCGAAAAGTGGTGGAATTCCGGCAAAAGTATCGTTGTCGATAACACGAACCCGTCGCATAGTGACTGCATGCCTTTTATCGCCATGGTGAGGCAATCTCGTCCTGGCGTCACCCCATTACCGGTGCGTGTGTTTGTGTTTCAGGCATCGAAGGGGTTGTCGATGCATATGTCGAATGTGCGTGCCCGACTTGGTCTTTCACCGCGAATCAGCCGGATTGCTTACAACGTGTTTCAGTCAAAACATGAAGTCTGGTCGTCAACATCTGTGAAGACGGCGAATGTTGGGGAAGTTCTTGAGATTCCACCAGTGGCGTGCTTTGAGGGCCTCCAAGAGGGTATAAGAAGGGAGTTTTTTTTGCTGTCGTGAGGAACACTCTGATTGCAAAATATTGGAGTGCCTTATTCCCTTTATTCTTCACAAAGTAAACATGCACATAAGCAAATTATTTATTTCTTGTGATCTTTTTATCTTTCTGAATCTTACTTTTTTCTTTCTTTTTTCCTTTTTGGCACGGCTGTGCCGATGCCATCCGTATTTTTATTTTTATTTTTAATTTCTTCATTGGAACTCGTTGAAGGAGCGAGAGGAGAAAAAGAAAGAAGGAAAAAAAAAAAAAAAACAGTGATCAAAGAAAGGATTAAACAACAATAACAGCAAAAAGAACACAAAACAAAACAAAAGACAAAACTAATAAGGAGGAGGGAAATGTCACTCAAGGTTGGTTACATTGGGCTCGGCCTTATGGGGAAATCGATGGCTGCCAACATTCTCAAGGCCGGATTCCCTCTGGTGGTGTTTAACCGCACCACTTCAAAAATGGAGGAGTTGGTGCAGCAGGGCGCACAGGCGGCCTTGTCTCCAGCGGACCTTGCGTCCAAGGTGGACATTGTCCTAACGAACGTCTCCGACTCCCAAGATGTGCTCGATGTGGTTTTTGGAAAGGAAGGCGTCTACTCGGGCATTTCCCCTGGAGCCATTTTTATTGACAACAGCACGATCAAGGCGTCAACCGCCAGGGAGATAGCGGAGCGCATGTGGAAAGACAAGAAGGTGCGTTGCCTTGACGCACCCGTTTCGGGTGGTGACATCGGTGCCAAGAACGGCACTCTTACCATCATGGTGGGTGGCGATGAAGAGGCAATGAAAAAGGCCTTGCCTGTGCTGCGTGCGATGGGCAAAACGATCACATACATCGGTGAGAGTGGAGCCGGTCAAGTGTGCAAGGCTGTCAACCAGATTATGGTGGCGACACAGATGGTGGCCATGGGCGAAATGCTCGTTTTGGCGAAGAAGTGTAATGTGGACGCCGAAAGAGTGATTGAGGCTGTGAAAGGTGGTGCCGCGCAGTGCTGGACACTTGATGTGAAACCACAGCGCCTCTTTGCTGGCAATCGCGAGCCCGGCTTTAAGGCCGCCCTTCAGAGCAAGGACCTCGGCATTGTGATGGACACCGCCAGGGAGTTTGGGGCTCTTTTGCCGAGCACCGCCATCAACGCGCAGCTGTTTCAGTCGATGGTGCAGAATGGTGAGGGCGACAAAGACAACTCGGCGGTGGTCGGTGTGCTGGAACGCCTGGCAAACTGCCGCATCACGGAAAAGAATAACGCAAACTAAAGACGATTTTTTTTTTTCCTTTTTTTTTACTTTGAATTGTTTACCCCCTTCTTATTTTCTTTTTTCTTTTTTGTTTCCTGTTTTTTTTTTTTTTTTTGTTGGGTGAGTTTTCATTGGTGGGTTTGCATGTGCTCGAATGTTGTGGCACACGCGTTTTTGCGCCATTGAGGCGAGAGAATATTTTTGCTGACGAACCCGAAACGTCTCCGCAGTGCAATTGCTGCTTCATCATGCATAATTTCTTATTGTCCTTTTTTGTTTTGACTGTAAGTACACACCTATAAATAAATAAATATAAATATATACGTACGCATTTGTACTTGCTGTTGTAAATTCGGCGAGCTGATAGATGATATCCACGTTTATTTTTGACGAGGAGCCAATTTCTTGGTTGCGAGGACTTCTTCAAGAGGAGTCTTGCGATGCGGCGCGGAAGGAATTGCGGCAAGCCGCCGGAATTTTTTTTTTTTCGAGGACTGCCACTTTGATGTGAGAAAATGCATCGGTAAATTGCCTGAGGGGTGCGTAGCGGCTGCTGCGCATCTCCAGTCCATTGGCTCATGCAGTTGTCGTGCCGGCACAATTTTTGGTTCCGACGGATTTCTGTTTTTTATTTTATTTTGTTTGGCGAGGAAGACACAATGGGGCTTGAAATAATTTGGCCCGAGCCGGACAATTACGTGCCTTTGGAGGTCAAATGCAGTGGGGGTTTCTGGTGGAGGCACTTTGACACAAATTTGAGTCTTTCTCATTGCGGAATTGGGCTTGAAGTTTTCACTGGTTCGGGTGTGGGCGGGGCACCCCTTTTGACTCCCTCATTTCCTTTTTTTTTTTTTTTTTTTACTCTTCTTGCTGCCCCTTTACATTCTGAAGCCAAAGGGGGAGAAGGGGTTAAAGAGTGTTGTTTTTGTTGTTGTGTTTTTTTTTTTTGGCGTCGGTGGCGGCAAAGATGGACGCAGGGACGCTGGGTTGGTTTGAAGAGGAGCTCGATGCCAGCGAGTGCGCCTCCGTGAAACGTCTTTTTCTGGATAGACGGACACTTGAGCAGGATGAGGGCAGCGAGTTCCCGCGTCTCCTGTGGATTTGTCGCATCATTGCTGCGGACCACCGTGTACTGTGGGAGCACCTTTCTTCTTCATTTACGGAGGATTTCAAACAGCCCGTGGATCCCTGGAACGAGCAGTTGGCGGTGAAGCTGCTGCGATTGCGGATTGATGTCATGAGTGACGCCGTAGCCGCGTCTCGGTTGCGTGAGGAGCTTGACGAGCATCTGACCACCACACTGAAACCAGCCACTGCAACACCACATGTCGGCTCGCAAATTGTGGCGAAGGGAGCCGACATGTGTTCTTATGTCGTGTGCCCCGCCGCACCCGGCGTGGAGGGTTCACTGGTTTGCAACGCTCCACTACCAGCGTTTGGTGATCTTTTGCGTGTACCTCGCGAAAGAATGTTTTTTATCGATACAGTTGTGCAATACTGTGACTTGGGGCGAGTTGTCCATGCATCTGGCGAACTGTCGAGCATGATTTCTGGCGATGAACCACTTTTAGTTCTTTCGCTTATCTATGAACGGTATGTGGCGGAAACATCGCACTGGAATGAGCTGCTGTTCTCGTGCCCCGGCGAGTACCCCAATGTCCCAACTTTCTGGGATTGGGAAGATCTTGCAGAGCTGGAGGGCCTTGACGTGCTAGATGACGTGCTAGCTAAGAAGGCACAGTTGGCGCAGTTTCAGACAGAGACAATGGCGGTCTTGCCTTTCATCCACGAGGCTCTTGCGGGAAGCTGCAGGCTTGGAAAGGATGAATTTCTTGAATGCTTCTCTATTGAGGCGATGATGTGGGCCCGTACAACGTTTGACTCTCGCGCCTTTAATTTAAATGTGGATGGACGCGTCGTAATTGCTTTGGTGCCCGTCGCAGACATGATTAACCATCACAACCGCAGTGATGTGTTGGTGCGAAAGGTGGAACCCAACGGGGGGGATTTTGTAATGCAGATAGGGGCAAGTTTGACCGCCCAGGATATTGGTCGGGAAATATGGATGAGTTATGGTCCGCTGCAGAACTGGGAGCTGTTGCAGTTTTACGGGTTCGTAGTGGAGGGAAATGAACACGAAAGATTGCCGTTTCCCTTTGATTTTCCGGAAGGTGCCGTTGGTGATGAGTGGGACGGGCGGCGGGCCGCACTAGTGGCGACGTATGGACTGCACCTTGCGGGTTGCTGCTGGATATGTCATGACGGCCGCCCACCGCCTGCACTTGTGGCCCTTTTGCGCGTGCATTTGGCGGAGGCGGAGGAATTTGACACGATGGAGCGCAACGGTCCATTTGCGAGTTTGGGCGCCGGGACGGAGGCGCGGGTCGTTGCCACGATAGCCGATACCATCCGGTGCATTCTCGACCTCTTCAGCACCTCGTTGGAGGAGGATGAACGGCTACTGGAGAACGGCAGCGGCCCCGTGGCGACACATGCCGGCGACGACGGCAACACCCAGCCGCTTTCGTGCAACAAGCGGTTGGCCATTCTTCTTCGCGTGGGAATGAAGCGTATTGCCCATTGCTCGCTGGAGTGGTGCAACGCCGCTGCAACCGCCATTGTTGCGCAGACGGAGGCTGCAGCCGGGAGTGCTCTCAACGAGTAAAAAAAATAACAGCAAACAAAAGGCATGAATAAATCCACAACAAACAAACAGGGTCTGCGCTCCAATGGATTCTGCGGCTTTACCGCCTTTCTTTTTTGTGCTTGTGCTTGCCGGTTGTGATTACAATTTCTTTCCTTCTTTTTGTAAATGTCTCAGAACCAACCGGAAGGAAACGAAGGAGGATAAAATTTGTACCCAGTTTAGCGTGTAGAAATGATGGACGTAAACCTCTCATACGGCGATCTTGGAACCCAGCCGCTTGCGTCGGTAGTGAAAAATCCTGCGCTCGTTCGCTCGCTCAACTTGTCTGGTAACAACATTGACAAGGAGCTGAGCATTGAGATAGCTAACACGTACATTAGCTGCATGGTGAACTTGGAGGAGCTCGATCTCAAAGACAATAAAATAGGCCCCCAAGGCGCAAAGCATCTTTGCGACACCCTCTTGAAGCACTGTTCCAAGTTGAAGTATCTCGACCTCAATGAAAATGGCATTCTTGACGAGTCACTTCTGTATGTGGCTTATTTACTACAAGAGAAGCGCCTGGAATCGCTTTTCTTGGTATCGAACCACCTGACCCAACGGGGCATGCCTACTCTTTGCGACGGCATTCTTTCGAGCCGACATATTCGAGAACTGACATTAGCATTCAATGTTCTTGGTGACGGAGGCGCCTCCGTGGTCGCCAAAGCCTTGAGGGGGCACCCTTCACTACGTTCACTAGATATCAGCGATAACCGCATTGGTGATGCGGGGGCGGTAGACGTGGCTGCGCATCTTATTCTGCCACGCGAATCGCGTCTGGAGTCGTTGAACCTCTCCGTCAATTGTATCCGTGACGTGGGCTTTTCTGCCATTTCTGAGGCGGTGAGAAACACGCAGAGCAGGCGGCTGATTCACTTGGACCTTGGAGGCAACCACGAGGTTGGATCCGATGGGCGAGGCGCGTTGATTAAATGCGTGGAATCGATGAGACACCTTCAGTCTCTGGACTTGTGCTCCTGTGGGCTTTCCGACGAAGAGGGGTGGGGACTTGTGGGGGCCGTTTCCTCACGCAACTGCGGAATTACGGCAATTGAATGGTTCAACAATCCGAAAATGCGGCCCGAGACCGAGAAGGCGCTTTACGAGGCACTGAAGGCGAAGAGGGCTGCTGCGCGGGATGCAGAACAACATTGGCGTCAGTTGAAGATTTTTTCCAGCGTTTTGTTGGGTGCCACTTTGCTGACGGGCCTCACCGTTGCGTTTCATCAGAGACGCCATCGATAAGGCTCCTCCAAGACTCGTGCCGTGTTTGGGAATTTCACGATGGTTTTTCTTTTTTTTTTTTCATTTTTTTTTTGTTTTAACTTTTTTTTTTTTTTTTTTTTTGGTGTCCCACAAACAAACACACACACACATACATACACGTAAAATATAAATGTACATAAATAAATAAGAATATGTTATTGACTTATTTGTCGGACGAGAGGCAGGCGGGGATTTGTAGAAAACAACAACAACAACAACAACATGTATTTGTCAATATCTCTCTTTGGGCATTTCTCTTATTCGTTTCTTTTTTTTTTGCAGGCTTTGGAAGCGTCTTGATTCCTTCTTTGCCACCCAGCCCCACAACAACCCTTGCAGCGTCACGCCACCATTATTGTGAATTCCATGGCAAACCCACACGAGCAGCGGGAGGACCCCTTCAGGGAAAAGATGTTTGACTCTCCCCGCGCAACTACCGTGCCGCAGGCAGATGTAGCAGGACAGACCATGATCACTCCTTTTGCCGAACCACAAACAACGTACACCACTTCAGAGCAGCCGGAACGATCTGGACAGCCACAGGGTCACACGACCTCTAATCAGATGTTCAACCTGCAACAGCCTTTCTACGAGAGCCCCAAATCCCCTGGTTTATCAGGGCCGTTACCTCCACAGCCTCCATTATCGCTCACCATGGAAAAATTTGTGCCAGGGACGGGGGAACAGACACAAGAGCAGCGACAGGAACAGCCGAAGTCAAACTCCAGGTTTTGGACTATTGAATTTTACCAGCGCTTCTTTGATGTTGACACCCGTCTCGTACTCCTTCGAATGAGTAACGTCTTGGTGCCTGTCAATGCGCCAGACTTTTTGATGCACCGTGAATGGCGCAACGACGCCTTACAAACTCCCTCATATGAATTCCAAGAGGCAGATGTTACGTTGTCGCAAAAACCCGACTTGTACGGTCCCTTCTGGATCTGCACCACCCTGTGGATGGCATTGGGTGTTGTCAGCAACGTTATGAGTAGAATTGCGTTTGGGCATCAGCCCTCTGATGACAAGAAAAAATGGGAGTATGATTTCACGATGGCATCCATTGCCTCTGTCGTTATCTACAGCTACTGCTTTGGACTGGGCTGTGTTGTGTGGGGAGTGATGAAATATAAGGAGCTACCGGTGACATTGCTGGAAACGTTGTGTCTCTACGGGTATAGCATGTTTTTATTTCTGCCTGTGACGATTCTCTGCGCGATTCCGGTGTCTGCACTCCAGTGGGTTATTGTGATGGTGGGCGGGGTGTGGTCAACGGCATTTTTGCTCATTAACTTTTGGCGTCTTTGGGAGGCGACGCTGAATCGCGTGTGGTTTTTGGGCATCGTGACGGTCGTCAGTGTGTTCCATATGTTGCTGACGATGTCTTTCAAGTTTTATTTTCTGAATTACAAATTTTAGCTGGAAATGACGCCAAGCAAAGAAGAGGAAAAGAAGGAAAGGAATAAAACAAAAAACAAAAAACAAAACAAAAAAAACAAAAAAAAAAAAAGAAAAGAAAAGAAAAACGAGAAGAAAAATGGTCCAGAGGTTTCCTCTTTTTTTCTTTTTCCTTTTTTTTTTCTTTTCTTTGTTGTTGTTGCTGTTGGTAATGATGCCTCGTGGAAGAAAAACAACCAACAAAGAAACAACCCTTTGACCCATTATGTGGAGAAACCACCTTTATATATAAATATACATATATGTTATACATGCATACATGTGTGTATACATATATGCTTCCATTTGTTTGGCTGGTTTACTTTCTTTTGCTGTGCTTCCTGGTTGTACCTTTTTTTTTTTTTTTTTTTTTTTTTTAGGTTTAGGATTGCAATTCCTTTTTTTCTTTTTTAGTTTTTGCTGGCTTTTTTTTTTTTTTCTTTTTTTTCCTTTTTTTTTTTGATTCTTTATAAGAATGCGCCCGGTGGTTGTGATTTTGCTTCACGAGCCAAGTGATACCCCTGCCTACATGGAGGTGTACCTAACCAAGCGTGGAATTGACTACGTCACCTACGAGTTTTGGAAGGACGAAATGGCAAACCTGGTTCCAGCCTCCGTCAAGAACTGCATCCGTTGTGTCAAGAGGGACGGCGAGGCGTGCCGCTTCACTCCTGTCTCCGAGACGTCCGTGGAGGGGGAATATTGTTGCATTCGCGGTGTTGCCAGTTTTGGCGGCTCGATGAGTGTCAACGACGAACTTCCACACTACGCACCAATTCTCAGCTTAATGCGCTCATGCATTGAGACGCGTACCCCTGTTATTGGTCACTGCCTGGGAGGCCAACTCCTGTCGGTATCCCTGGGCGGGCGCGTTGGCCCCTCCGAGCACGTTGAGGTGGGGTGGATTGACCAGGAGGTCGTAAACACCGGCGCCTGCGGCATAAAGGATTGGTTCGGTGGACGAAAAGTGATCAACGTGTTTGAAATCCACACTGAGAGCTTCTCCATCCCGAGAGGGGCGAGGCGGATTGTGAGGGGCAAATATTGCGCCAACCAGGCATACCAGGTTGGGGACCAATATGCCCTGGGGCTGCAGTTTCACCCAGAGGTGGATGAGGAGAAGGTGAGGAGTTTGACTGCACCGAGTTTTCCGTCGCTCTACACGAGAGAGGAAATCATGGCCATGGATGAAGAGGAGTCCACACGATTGTCTCCCGCAGCCATGAGTCGTGATGACATTGAAGTGTGTCTACGTGATGGGCGCATCGAGCGGAACCTGCCCATTGCAGACAGTATTTATGACACGTGGTGCTCGGGGTTCATTCTGTAAGTGATAAGTTTTGGATATTTATATTTTTCAAATGAAAAAAGAGGCAGTAAAAGAAAAACAAAGCAAAAAACAACAACAACAACAACAACAAAACAACAACAAACAAACAAACAAACAGCAAAAAGAATCAATTAATTTTAAGGAGATAAAAAACAAAACAAATCAAAACAACAACAACAACAAAAACAAACAAACAAACGAAAGAGGAGGCAGCGGGTAATTAATGCCATGCGCAGCCTGTGGGACAAATATCTATTCTTCCTTCTTCCTCAATACACATTCGACGACGCATGTGGGGAATTCTTGAGGCTTCTGCCGTTTCTTTGGACTCTGGCGCGGTGTCGAAAGGACAGGCAGGGGGCTGGGGTGGGGGCTTAAGAGAGCTGTGTGTCTGGGCGAGGGGAGGGGGAGCAAGCACGGTAAAGAAAAAGAGGATACAACCGTTGGAAGGGGTGAGGAAGGAACTCTGCAAAGAAACCTCCTCTCTTTTCTTCCGCTTTTTTTTCTTTTCTTTTTTTCCTTTTTTTGTCTGTTATATTTCTTTTGAACGGCTTTCTTCTTTCTTTTCGACGCTCGTGTTGCTTCGCTGTTGAATCCGCCATAAATTGGACCCCCTTCCCCCAAGGCTTTGGACGCAACTGGAAAAACCTCTTTTGCCTCCTCGCTGCGCCTCTCCCCATCCATGTGTGCGTGCATTTACAATTGTACATGAATATATCCGTCTGTTTCAGCGTTCTTATATTATAATCTTGTATCCGAGTGTGTGTGTGTCTCTTGTTTTTTTCTTTTTTTTTTTCTTGTTTGTTTTGCTTAGGCGTTTTTTTTGTTTAGCCGTTGTTTTGTTCTCTTCTTGTTTTTTTTTTTTTTTTTTTTTTTTTTTTTTTTGCTGCCCGTTGCCCGGTAAATTCCTCAGTGCACTTCTGTAATGGCAATACGTGGCAGCGTAAAACGCAGCCAAATTGGGGGCCCTGCAGTAGGAAAGAATTTGGGTAAATAGATGAACCAAACGCTTTTTTTTTTTTTTTCTTCTTCTTCTTTAAAACAATTGCATGAACAGCTCGAAATTCTTTCGTTTGTTCTAAGTGAATTCTCCACTGCCACTTTATGTGGCGCCTGGCAGTGGGCTCCAGTCTTGTTGGCCTTTTTTTTTTTTCTTCTTGTTTACATGTTTGTGTGTTTACGCATTGACACTTGTGGCCTTTCATGCGCTTTTCTTTTGTTTCCTCTTACAATCTTTTTTTTTTTTTTTTTTTTAAATACTTAGATCTCCGCTCCTGGCAATGCGCCGGTGGGGCGTGTATTCCTTTCAGTGCCTCTGCGCATGTCGTTTAACTGCCGCCAGGCAGGCGGTGAAAGGGCCGTTGCTGCCCACGGCTCTCTCTTCGTCCTCGTCTTCGTTGTCATCGTCGCCGTCCCCGTTGGAACCAAAGAAGCCGAGGAGCAAAGCGAGTCCTACAAAGACAGTGACGCAAGAGGCTTCACGTGCGCCACGCAAAAAGCCTGACCTTCCCGGGGCGTATTCATCCTTCCGTGGCATCACCCCCATTAGCGAGGTCAGGGAGCGCTACGGCTATCTGGGTTCTGGCGATAGGGCTGCGCAGGCAACGGTGCGTGTTGCGGGTCGTGTTACAAGCGTGCGAGATATTGGAAAAATAATTTTTGTCACAATTCGGTCGAACGGCAACGAGCTTCAGGTCGTGGGGCAGGTAGGCGAAAATTTCACGCGTGAGGACTTGAAGAAACTGAAGGTGTCTTTACGAGTTGGCGATATCATTGGGGCAGATGGCGTTCCGTGCCGCATGCAGCGAGGCGAACTCTCCGTGGCCGCCTCCCGCATGCTCATACTGAGCCCGTATGTTTGCACCGACCAGGTAGTTTGCCCCAACCTTCGCGGTTTTGCCGTGCTGCAGGACAACGACGTCAAGTATCGCTACCGTTTTACTGACATGATGACTAATCCATGCGTCATTGAAACAATTAAGAAGCGGCATGTGATGCTTCAGGCATTGCGAGATTATTTTAACGAACGAAACTTCGTGGAAGTAGAGACCCCCGTACTGCACACGGTGGCATCGGGAGCAAACGCCAAGTCTTTTGTGACGCATCACAATGCGAACGCAATGGATTTGTTTCTGCGTGTTGCCCCAGAGCTGCACCTTAAGCAGTGCATTGTTGGGGGGATGGAGCGCATATACGAGATTGGAAAAGTTTTTCGCAACGAGGACGCCGATCGAAGTCACAACCCGGAGTTTACAAGCTGTGAGTTTTATGCCGCATACCACACATACGAGGATCTTATGCCTATGACCGAAGACATTTTTCTTCAACTGGCGATGCGTGTAAACGGAACAACTGTAGTTCAAATTTACCCCGAAAACGCCCATGGCAATCCAGTTACTGTGGATTTGGGGAAACCCTTCCGTCGTGTGAGTGTATACGATGAGATACAGAGGATGTCTGGGGTGGAGTTTCCGCCACCAAACGAACTAAATACGCCCAAGGGCATCGCATACATGTCCGTTGTCATGCTGCGTTACAACATTCCTTTGCCCCCTGTACGAACGGCCGCGAAAATGTTTGAAAAACTCATCGATTTTTTTATTACCGATCGCGTTGTTGAACCGACGTTTGTGATGGACCACCCGCTGTTTATGAGCCCCCTTGCGAAGGAGCAAGTGTCACGGCCTGGATTGGCAGAGCGCTTTGAGCTTTTTGTTAATGGGATTGAATATTGCAACGCCTACAGCGAGCTCAACGACCCACACGAGCAGTACCACCGTTTCCAGCAACAGTTGGTGGACCGACAAGGGGGAGACGAGGAAGCCATGCCGCTGGACGAGACTTTTCTGAAGTCGTTGCAAGTAGGTCTTCCGCCAACTGCGGGATGGGGAATGGGAATCGATCGTGCCCTGATGCTGCTCACAAATTCTAGTAACATCCGTGATGGCATCATCTTCCCGTTGCTACGCCAGGACATTCGTTCTCATGATTCCAAGCGGCGTCATAAAACGGCCTCGTTTTTTGATTTTAACAAACAGATGACGCTATTTTGTCTCAGTAGTCTCGAACAGGAGTTTAGGCGAAATGGGCTTTCGGAGGACTCATGCGCCAATGTCCGTGAACTAAGAAGGGTCATCATGGAGTTGGGACAACGCGGGGGGACAAACGGCCTCCCCACGGCAGGGGGCCGTTTGTCCGACTGGCGAATAACATTGATTTTTGCAATTATTCGTTTCATATGCGGTACACCGAGGCGGTAAAATTCCTTTTTTTGCGGGATTTTTTTTTTTTTTTGCCTGTTCGTGCCGTGTTTCTGGGATGATGTGTAATGCTGCTTGTGGTGATGGTGGATGGGTGGGCGGGGGGGGCTTTTCGCATCCTTCTTTTTTCCGTCTTTGGTGTTGCTGTTGGCTGTGGTTTGGATTGCGGTTTTGCTGCCATGTAGAGTTGCAGTGACAATGATATGCGGAGGGGGGTGAGGAGAGAAATCATGGATGGCGGCCCGTGCGCCTTTCACTTTTTTCCGTCATGAATTCCTTTGCTTTGTTTTGTTGTTATTTTATTTTATTATTTTTTCCATGGAACTGTTTCTTGTGGTTTGTGTCCTGCGCTGCTGGTGGCTTTCAAGTGGTGGAGAGAAGAAGTGAAGGGTAAACTATAACAAGTGAGGATGCTGGAGGGCCGTCAGGCTGATGTCTACGAGCGAATCAAGTGGGATGGCTGGGGCCTGCGGGACGTCGCATTGTGGTACGACGAAGAAAAAAATCTTGTCTTTCACTTGAATGGGAAACCCATGAAGGGACTCCTGCCATTCATCCAGGAGAAGGTTGTGCATGGCACTGGTGAAATGAGACTGGTAAAATCACCGGGTATTTCCGTGGAGGAGGCCGTCAAGCGACTTCAGCAGCCTTTCATTAACCAAACATTTCTGGAGGAGTTGCGGCAGGCCTTACAAAAGGACCAGATTCGTCTTGACGGACAAAGCCGCCTTACGCACATGGTTGGAAAAAACTATCGAGATCTCTGGCGGGCTCGAAATGGCTTGTTTGACCGCGCACCTGACGCAATATGCCTGCCCAACAGACACGAGGACTGTGCAAAGATTATGGAGCTTGCTCACAAGCATAATGTGGTTCTTATTCCTTTTGGTGGTGGAACAAGCGTTACAGGCGGTGTCGAGCCTACACCTTTTGAGACAAAGCGCATGATTGTTTCGGTTGATATGCGTCGAATGGGACGCATGTTGTCCATTGATAAGGAGTCCGGATTGGCTGTATTTGAGGCGGGTGTTTTGGGTCCTGATATGGACGAGCAGCTCCGACCTCATGGCTTTATGTTCGGCCATGATCCGGACAGCTATACTCACTCGACTCTTGGTGGATGGATTGGTGCACGTGGTAGCGGTGCCATGTCGAACAAGTATGGCGATATAGAGAACATGCTTCTTGCAATGAAGGTAGCAACTCCTATTGGCGTTGTGGAGACACCTGTTACTTCACGACCCTGTGGGGTGGATCTCAATGCCATGTTCACTGGATCGGAGGGGGCGTTTGGAATTATCACGGAGGCCACTGTTAAGATTGAGCGTATTCCTGAGGTGAGACATTTTGAAGGTTGGATGTTTCCTTCCTTCGAGGTTGCTTTTTCTGCCTTTCACACATGCACGCGAAAGGGAGTTCATCCTTGCACAATGCGACTTTATGACGAGGAAGAAACGCGTTTTAGCTTTGCGGCAAGTACAGACGATAGCCTGATTGGCTCACTTATTAGCAAGGGCCTGAAAAAATACCTGGAGAAAATAAAACAGTGGGATCTCCGGAAACTTTCTTTGGTCATTGTTGGATTTGAAGGGACGAAGGCTCAGACACGTTGCCAAAGATCTGAGTTGTCAGTTATCTTTAAGGAGTTTGGGGCAGTTTGTCTGGGATCGAAGCCTGGAGTGTCTTGGATGGAAAAAAAGTACGATTTGCCTTATCTTCGTGACTTGGCTCTTTCCCACTCGTTGTGGGCAGATGTGTTTGAGACCAGTGTTTTGTACTGTGATGCCATTCGCTGCTGGCGCGCCGTGAAGGAGTCATTTGCTAATGTAATGAAGGAAAACGGGAGGACCGGTTGGATTGGATGCCACAGCGCCCACCAATATCGCTTTGGCTGCTGTCTTTACTTTACTTTTATTGGTGCCCAGCACGATGAGAATGACATGAAGCTCTTTTTACAAATCAAACAGCGTGCCATGGAGGCAATGCTAAGCCATACCGGGAATCTGACTCATCACCATGGGATCGGCTACGAACACGTTCCGTGGATGCAGCGTTACAACGGCAAAATTGGGTTTGAAGCGATCATGCGGTTCAAGAACGCCCTTGACCCTAGGAACATATGCAACCCTGGCAAGCTGCTTCCGTCCCCCCGTGCTGAGGACGAGACATTGGAGGCAGCTGAGGCTCGTCAACGCCGTGAGATGATGTTTGACAAGATGGGAGTTCCAGGAGCGGTGCAGTCTCACCTGTAAGGCGTTTTTTTTTTTTTTGTTTTTGTGGGGATGAGTGGGGAATACTTATTACACTGGTGTTTGAAGCAACTATCTACAATTTAACCGGACAGAAGAGAGAGGAGGAAAGCAAATAAGAAATAAAGAAGAAGGAAAAAGAAGTAAAACACGAAGGAAGGCTTAGAGAATAATGGGCGGCGGGAGGAGTCATTTGGAGAGGTAGCGATGGGGCATGACGCTGCTGATTTTGTTGTCATGGTTTTCCCCCCTTTGTTATTTTGTCATCCACCCCTGAAGGAAGCAGACCCCAAAAAAAAAAAAAAAAATAATAATTCAAGGCCATTGACACTCTTTCCGCCATCCCTCTTCTTTCTTTGTGTATATTTATGTGTTCTCATCAACGTTTAGGTAGGGCTACCGTTTTTGCAGGCATTGCAGATATATTGGTGCGGCAGGGGGATGAACGAGCCGTGTGGGTGTGGTACGTAGCGCATCCAAGCTCGATGCTTTCAGTTGTTTCTGTCTCGGCAGATAGTCGGGGAATTGGATGGCGGTTTCCATTCCTTGATAGCAAGGAAGGATTTCGTATTGATGTGGCGATATCTCGCAGAGGCGTGAAAATGAACCGGAGCTCACATACCGTGCCCATTTCTGCGGCCGTTGCGCAAATAAAGCTTCTGTCTTGTGTGGCGAGGCATCCACCGCGCCTACATATTAGCTGTACGGAGGTCATGGCTCTGGAGGAGCTGTTTTTGTCTTTGGAGAAGGGTTCGTGTGGCATGCCTGCTGTGATAGTGGCAAGGCTACAAACGAACAAATTTAGTTACTTATTGGGCCACCATAAACGGCTGACTGGGCGCGTGTTGTCACTCCTTCGCACCGTGAGGATGCTCTCACTGGAAGAAAATAAGGGGGAGGATGGCAAACTGAGTGATCTACATGAACTAAGGAACCTGAGGGTGCTGAGTATTACGGGGACAGTCATGTTTTCCTTATCTCCACTTTGTGGGATGCAAACACCGTCGGTTATTCACATAAAAAGAACGGGCATAACGGACGGCGCAATTCGAGTGCTGAGCCAACTTGTGCAGTTGCGTCGTCTTCTGCTTGAAGAATGTAAAGGCGTGGTCACGCTGGCTCCATTTACCGCTCATCCGTCCTTGCAGTACATATTGGCGATGCGATGCGACGGGTTCAGAGAGTTCCGTGCGCTCACAACTATTCCGACGCTTGAGTACGTCAAATTGTCAATGTCCGTCGTGGGGCCTGACGACATGGCCCGCTGCATGGAGGGTTTCAAAGCTCCAACAGAACTCATACTCGACGGGATTCGCTTTTCTCCTGTGCGTGTTGTAGGCGTGGAGGAATATCAGCAGTTGCGAACACTCTCGCTGTGTGAGTCGGTCTTGGAGAATTATGAATGGATTGCAAGAGCAACATATTTGGCGAAACTCGACTTGAGTGCAACTCGTGTCAAAGAGGAGGACTTGGTTGGGCTGTGCAGATTACTTTTTTATTTGGAAACGCTTTTACTGCGCTCTTGTAAGCATCTGAGCACGTCTTTGTCTTTTCTTTTGCCTCTGCATCAGATGCGCAGTGTATCTATTTCAAATTTCAGTTTGCTGCGAAATAATTGTATTGCCTTGCTGCGGGAGCGCGGTGTGTTGTGCGATGTCTCCTAAATGGAAGATGGAAGTGAAGGATTTTAAGCATCTAACAAGTGGGGGACAGGAGAAAACGTAAACGAATGAATGAATGGGGCTTAATGAACGGTCATTGTGCAATTATATGGCACTTTTTTACTGTTTTCTATTATTATTATTATTATTATTATTATTATTGATTTACGCTTTTTTTTTTTTTTTTTATGGGTTGTTTTATTTTAGTGTGGGATGTTTCTTTTCACGGCTTCTGACCTCTACGGGGAGTGCTGTGCGCTGTATGGGGTGAGGCCGAACAGGGATGTGGCCGAGCAGCTGGCCGGGTCCAACTTTCTCACTATCCGGAGGATCGATGCCTCGAGAACTTTTCTGGGCGAGTTGGGCGTCCGGGCACTCCTGGAGTTTGTCGGAAGCCACTCTGGGATCCGGCAACTCGTCCTTAAAAAAAATGGTGTCGATGCGGCTTGTGTCGAGCACCTCTGCGGTGTCCTGCGCGAGAGTCCGTCTCTTTCTTCCGTTGACCTTTCCGACAACCCCATGTCAACGCCCTCCGTGCGTCTTCTTTCGGAAACTGCAAGGGCCGTACCACATATTCGAGAGATAAAAGTGGAGAACTGCGGCGTAAGCGACGATTGGATGAATCGACTGGAGCGCTGCTGCAACGCGAACAGTGAACTGCAGCGTCTTGGGTTTTACCCGTATGGCCCGGTGCGAGGCCTCCGGAGTTGGGAAACGGTGTTTGTTCTCGTGCTGGGTCCAGAATCTCTGGTGCAAACATACTGTACAGAAATCTTGCCGTACGTTGGAAGCTTTGTCTCGAGACTCCGCTTAAGAATTGCGCCTCTCACCATTGACAAGGCGGATACAGATGATGTAGTCAAAAGCAAGGTCTGGCGGTGCAGTTCGATGCACAACTACGCGTTGAGCTGGTGTGTTGTTCTCATTGGTGAGAAAGCGCAATGGCCGGATGCGGACATCAGTGCCTTGATGGCTGTGATGCGCCAGGAGGAGCCTGTGGTCCCACCATTGCGGAATAAATTTGGAGTTCTTCGCGATCCCATGTATCGCCATGCAAAACATCTCTTTGTATATACACTGACGTCTTTCCATGAGGAAGGGCCGTACAAGGGAAATGTGTCAACCGTTCCATCTAGTGTGTGGCTCCCCGCGTTGGGCATTACAGTGCCAAATGGCATGAATGCTCCCCCCGCAGTGGCAGTGAGGAGTGGGAACTGCTGGAAAGTGCGCTGCCTGACTGACTTGTCCGTCTCGTTGTGCTCCGTTTTCTCCGAGCGGCCTCGTTCCATGGCGTTATTGGAGGAAGACGAGGGATCTGACAAGAATTTATGGGAGACCATTGAACGGGAAAAACTTGTCGGCTCGCTGCACCCAAGGTGCAAGGACATTGTTCACTACGTGGAGTCGCCCGCTGGACAGTCATCTGTTCCATTGATTCTGTACGGTGCGGCTGATATAGGCAAGTCTAAGATCTTGTCTTGGGCTGCTGCAAATTATTCGGCGGTGGAGTCGCTCCGAGTTGTTCCCTATCATGTGAGCCACGAAAACCAGAGTCTTGTTGTGCTCTTGTTTCATCTCCTTCGTGTCTTTTTAAAGAAGTCCAGGCGGATGTATCGCAGTGTGGAGGAGCTGGCTGTGGATGTCCGCGAAGTAATCTCTAAATACGACGGGGAAATGATTCTTCTCCTGATCTCGCGCATCGATCTCTTGGACAGCTGTGGGGGCCGAGAATCGCTCGTTCTCGAATGGCTTCCCTCGTGTCTACCTCCATCTGTGAGAGTTATTGCTTCTCTAAACACCGAGAGTCCGCTTCTGACTGCCTTTCGGAAACGCATGCCACAACCGTACGAGACACTCATCACGTCTTTTCCAAGGCAAGTGAGGGCCGACTTATTTCTGAAGGAAGTTTTGCGGCGTGACGTGAGGAAAACGTCAGAAGACGGTGGCGCTATGAACGATGGCGGCACCTTCCGTCCATTTGAGCCCAACAAGTCGCTAGAAGGTGCCTTCTTGCAGAAGGATGGATCAGAAACCATATCCTTCGGTGTTTACACGGCTTCTTTTCTACAGCGAATGCCAAATAATTTGGCCGAGAGGGACATGGCGTTCATTCTCGCGGAGGATGTGCCCGACACTTTGGATGAAATCCTAACGGTGTTGTTGAGGCGGTATGAAACAATAAGCGACCCACTCACGGTTCAGTATCTTACGATGAGCCTTGTGGCGACACCACTGCCCATTTCTGAGGTTATTTATATTTGTGAAGAGCTGGGACCTTGCAGACGCCACAAAACTTTACCAGTTCTTTTGATGATGTCAGATGACGGTCTCTTGACCGTGACTTCCGGATCCATTGTTCATTTATCGGGGCCGGATGTACGTCGGGTGGTCATAAAACTCTACGCGGATATGCAAGATCTTCTCAGCGTGCTGGTGGAGACGCACCTTGTTCGGCTGATCAAGACGCGAAGTCCCGATATGTGCTTTTACTTTGGACATCTGGCACCAATTATGATCGCAAATGGTAGCGTTGATGTTGCTTGCAGTTTTATATTAGATCCAACGCATATGGACGCTCTTTTGAGCCGTGATCCAGACAGCTGTACCCATGCAATTGATTTAATCTTTCGTCTTTTAAACACACGTCAGCTTATTCTTGAATTGGGTGAAGATATTTCTCCTTTAATGGATCAAAATACGCGGCGTCGTAACCGCGAGGCCTTACGGAGTGCTCTTGAATTCTTGCAGTTGGACAATGGATTTTTCTTTCAATCTTCCTTGTTGGCTTCCGATGTATCGCCGTATTATTTGCAGGCAATGGAGGCAGAGGAGGTACCATACACTGTGCTTGTTCCCTTGAACCGCGGTGATGAGGATGACGCAACGTATACGTTAGACTGCAAGCATTTGCCCGTTTATTGCCATTTGCGGGGGGAATATCTTGTGGTGACAACCACCCAGGAGGTTATAGTATACTCCGCGACAGATTTTCAAAATGAGCTTATGCGGTCCTTTGTGCCATTTGAACTCAATCAAAATCTTCGTGGGGCTCTGGTGGCTGCAGGGACACGTGTCGTCGTGATTGGCGATGAGCAATTGCTGTTATGGGACTTTGGCAGGCAGTCATTTACAATGTTTGAGGATACCACCGCATCATTGAGTGAAAATGCATTGGATCCATGTTTTCTCAACCTTGTCGTCTGCCATCACTCGAAGGAACAGCTTTCTGTCATTGATGTTTCGAAAAACAAAGTTGTTTTGGAGCTTCCAACGCTGGAGGCGGCGTCTGTGCGTGAAGCATTCTTTTGTGGCGGTGGGATTCTTGCCCACACGTTATACGATTTGTTCCTGATACGGGGGGAAGAGGTGGTAAAACTCGCCCATACGGGCCCCATTCGTCGTGTGAGTTTTTCCAATGACGGTTGCCTTATTGCTTCTTGCGTACGAGAGGATATATGGATCTGGTCCGGTACCGGGGAACTGCTGCATCTCATCGACGCCGGGGTGACACCACTTGAGGACCTTTGTTTTAATGCGAGCGGGACGTTGCTGCTTACGTGGCAAACTGAGGGGGTGAAGTTGTGGCACTCGCTGAGTGGGAAGTATGTGGGGGCTGTGGAGCCCTGCTTTGATGAGAGGGCCTCGTTTGTTTCTTTTACCGAGGACGGCAATAATATTATTGGGCGGTGTGGCTCACATATTTATCTGTGGGATGTCCACACCCGTCAGCCCGTGGGGGTGCTTACAGCCGACACTGGCTGTTTTACGTTTGTGCAGGCGCGGAATCAAATGATGATTGGCACAACCTCCCGGAATGAGGTGAAGATATGGCGGTTGGGCGATGCCCCTCTTCCGTCCATCCAAAGTGTGAGGGAGAAAAAGCTCACAACCATTTGGCGGAAAAATGGTAGGCTCTCAACCGCGCCAATTGTTCGAGTCGACGTAAATTCGAATGGGAGTCTTATCACCGTTGTTGATGGGAACGGTTCTGTGATTCTGCAGCCTATATACGGCAATGCGAGATTGGACTGCGACATCAGCCATGCCGAAAGTACCGCAATCCTCAACGACATGATATTCTTCACGATGAAAGGTGAGGGCCGTCAGTACTTCTGGAAACGACTGAGTGAAAATGACACCGTAACCGAGGTGTCATTACCGAGGAACGCCGTGATGCATGCGAGACTGGAGCTCGTAAAGTCAGAGGATGGGGGTACAATGGCTGTGATTTCAAACTCTGAAAAAGGCAGCGTGATTTACGTTTACAACACCTCCGATTGGACCTTGACAAACCAGTTTTTGGGTCATTCCGGCCGCATTATTCAAGCCATTTTTGCTGGCGACTTTCTCATTAGTTGGGGGGATGATTGCACAGTGCGGCTTTGGAGCTTGTTGCGACATGCGGAGAGGGCGACATACAGCCATGACTGTTCTATAGTTGCGGCAACATCCGGCCCTTTAATGACTCTTTTTTTAGTGGACGACCGATCACGGCTGTATCATCTGCATGTGGAGAACATTGCATCCTCAGTGGACGCGCGTTTTGTTGCAGATCCGGTGGAATTGTCACTGACTATTCCAACCACTTCTAGGGTCCGAGCGATGATTCACACCTCAGATCTGCTTGTCATGTCCACTGAGGACGGCTCAGTGTACTTGGTGGACCTTCGCCAGGGCGGGACTGTCAGCAGGCTGTCCGGCTACAAGTGTCTCTCCCTTGCTTCAGCCTCCAGTGGGGGCGATGTGTATGTCGTAACGGGTCATTGGACCGGCGAGGTTCTTTTGCACCTCGTCCGTTTTACTGAGCAGATGTAAAGAAGAAATGAAAAAGCAAACAAACAACAACAACAAAAACTATTCAGCATGACGAAAAGCAACAAACAAATAAAGAAAAAGAGAACTTCTTAAATTGTTTTTGTTGTGGAGTAGTAGGCGACAAGAAGGAAAAGGGAAAAAGAAAAAGGGAGGTGGGGAGCGGCCCGAGAGAGTCGGGGAGAGCAGAGATGTGCGCATTTTTTTTTCTTCTCTTTTTGTATGTGTGCATGTGCGCGCGTATGTTTTGGATGACTTTTTGATTGTCTCATGGCGATTTTTTTCTTGTCTTTGTCACGTGAATTGGCGGCTACTGCCCATACAGAAAGCTAAGAGGATAAAGCAAAAAAGCCGTAAAGACCAAGAAGCGAGTCATAAGCAGCAGCAGACTAAAGGGGAGGCAAAAGAAAAAAAATACTCATAAAAAGGGGATCTAACACAATGCGACGTGGAGATTTTGAGCGTCGGCGCCTTCGTGATTTGTACGAGCGGAATGTGCGCCGGGTGCGGGCTTTGGCGGATGCGCGAGATGGGCGAAGGTCTGGCAGGGACGATGATATTGCGGCTCCCCGCCGTTACGTCGTCAGCGAGCGTCGAACTCGCCTCGAAGGATTTGGCCGTGGTGGCTACCAAGTGCAGCGGTCACGCCGGTTTGGCCGCGATCCAAGGATCCGTCGGTTCAGCGACAGGGGCGTTTACCGTCGCGGTGCCCTGGACCGCTTTGAGCGTGAGGAGGACTTCGAGCGGAAGTTGCGTCGTGAACGTTTCCGCGAACGCCGTCTTAATGAGGGCGGACTGCGGTTCGGTCGTCTGCGCCTTCGCCGCAGCGAACGACGGGAGCTTCGCCAACTGCGAGAGCTCCGAGAACTCCGTGAACTTCGCGCCCTACGAGGCGCACAACGAAACCAGGGCAATGGCGATCGGCGCGGCAAGCTAGACAAGGAATTGGATCGCTACAGAAAGGACCAGCGCGGCGGGCGCAGGGGTGGAGGTGGCCGTGGCCGTGGTGCACCAAATTCGGTGACGAAGGAAGGACTCGACGCGGAACTTGACCGCTTCCGCGGCGGCAATTAGTGGACAAGCACAATGTGGGGGAATTGTCATTACAAGAGGTTGGTGAAGCCGGATTAATAGAAATATGAATTTAGACGGCTGAGGGATCCTCTGCATGTGCTGTTTAAGTGTTTAACGGGGAAAAAATGGAGGGTGAATGAAAAAGGAGAACAACTTTTGTTGCGTTCATGCCCGTGCATAAATATAAGTGTCTACATAAATGCCTGTTTTACGCAATTCCGCATTGGGCGTCAAACGTTGACAATTCTTTTTTTCTACCTTTTGATTAGAATGGCGTGAGTCGTGACTGTTTCTGCTCGTACGTGAGGAAATCAAACGTACACGCGTTCGGCGGTCACTACAGCAGCAGAGGTGGTGCGGGCCTTGCGGCGGGGGACTAGCATGAGGGGCTCGAGGTCCAAAGAGCATGGAAACGGAGAAGAAAAAAGGCCGGTCAAATTGGAATGAGGAGGGAAAATAAAAAAAATAGAGGAGAGGACGAGGGGCTTCGCCGGACACGCGTCGTTGCGATGGAGATAAATTTGGTCCGGGCATCCCGATCCAGCCTGCTACTGTGGTGGGAGCCAGATGAATTCTATTCGTCTGATTTTGCGCCCCTTTTTTTTTTTTTTTTTTTGATTCAGGTGACAATTACCGTTGGCCGTTGCAATTCCGCTGTACTTCACGTTGCTTTATCAGGGCTTTAACATTCTCTCGAGGGACGCGAGCTCCCACAGGCTTCCCGGATATACACACACACACACACGTTTGATTTTTATTTTTAAAATAAAGGCATTTTTCTTTTAAAGGCTTAAAAAAACAACAACAAAAACAAAACAGAAAAGAATGCTGCTTTCAAAAGCAGACATCATTGTTTGTGCGACCACAACGAGTTGTTTCCTTTAGAGGAGAGGCAACGTTATTTGATTTCTGTCGTGTTTATATTTTTTTTTCTTTTTTGCGCGGTTTTTTTTTTTTTTCGTTGCTTGTGTTTTTGACTATTGTCGGGCACACATTTCGAGTTATTATTGAATGCGCCCGCGGCGGCCAGGGGTGCTAGGTGTTTTTAGTTGTGGGATTTCTGCGTTTCATGCGGGAAGGCCGCCTCGTGCTTTCCGTCTGGACTACACTCCTCTGTCAACCACCCACACCGTCTTTGGACAGAAGCAGGCCACTGTGCCTGCACTGCCGCGTCACAGACGCCAGCTTTCGACGGATCACCCAGCGTTTGGCACGAATAGGGCGTTTTCTCCTGGTAGGCCATTTAAAGGCCCTATTAGCGTATCGGGCTTTTTTTTAGCCGTCGACCCCAATTTTGCGGCAGGAACACAAAATCGAATGAACCCAAATGCACAAATAACTGTGCGTGATAGTGAGGGGAACATGTCGCGGGTCCGTTACCGCTGTCACTTAGAGTCCTATACAGGACTGAAATTAGAGGCACTTATAAGACTCCAGGTTGGATGGATCTCGCCAAAGGTGACATTCTCATTTATTCCATATGTCATTTACCTCGGAAAAGGATTTGATCTGAGCATTCCATTTTTTATTCACTTCACTATGGTGTCGGTATTGGATGAGCATGGCGACCGTACTGGAAGTTTTCTCTACTTCAGCGGAACCCCTATGCTTGGGTTTTCCGCAGGCTTGACACAAATTCGACGAGGAAAGTTGGTGCTAAACCCAGCAAAGGAAGTGGATCCCGTGGAGGAGTCTAAGCAGTTTGTTGGAAAGATTCATGTTAGACAATTAGGCTTTGTGTTACTCAAATGTCTCGGTTACGCCTTGTGTTTCCTCGCGTGTGTCCCTGCTTCGCAGCGCTTTCTTCAGTACATGCTTCCCGATCCATTTCACCGGCACAGCGAAAGTGCTGTTTGATGCTCTTTTTTTCTTTTTGCTTGCTTTCGCTTGCGACAGTGCTTCGACCCGATTTTGGATCATTGGTGTGATTTATGTGTTTGCTATTTTTTTTTTTTTTTTCGTCCTGTTGATTCCTCCTGTTGTCTTTCCTTTCTGTTGCGGCGGAGGATGAGTGTGTGTGCGTGTGTGTCAGTCTGCGCCGCATTTGTCTTTTGCCTCTGTCTTTTTGTTATGTTGTTTTCTCTTTACTGCCTCACGTGGCTGTGTTCTTTTTTTTTTTTTTTTTTCTTCTCTGGCAGTGTGGGTCTCTTAGAATGAGGAGAACAACTGCCGTTCTGTGGCAGCATGGGGTCCACGTCCCTTGCGGGGTTGTTTACCACGGCGCCAAGATGAAGCATTGGCCGGAGCAGAAAGTACCTGACAACTTCAAGTTCACGGAGGAACAGCGCTTCAGGACGAAGGCCATCCCTCGAGACCTTGGGAAGATACCCCGCGACTTTGTCCTTAGCGTGCTTTATCGCCACCAGCCGTGTGAGGTAAGTGGACTTTGGGAGCACTGCACCAGCGACCCTGGAGTTGTCCTTGACAGCAAACGACACCTGCGTGAGGTACTAAAACAGGCAAGGGAGGAGGGGTTTGTGAGTTTCGAGCGGGACCCCGTTTCCAACGAATGGCTCTGTTTCATCACACGGGAACGTTTTGAGGAGGTGCGACAAATTGCTGGAGCAAAGGCTGAGGCGTCTGACGTCTATTCGGGGTTGCGTGGCTCTAGTGCAACGGAGACGTCGTCATACACGGAGCGTTTTAAGGAGATGAACGAAATGGCAAGGGAGGAGCACGCACTTCGTCTTGAGGAGGAGGTGAAGACGACGACGAAATATCTGCGCTCCTTTCAGCGGAAGGAGGTGGACTACCTGCCGTACACGGACCTGAACGGAAAGGTAAACTTTATGTGGTGGTATGAGACAAGGGATGTGCAACAGAGGGGAGGAGATGCGATCCCCGCGTCTAGCAGAGAGACGTTGCCGAGTGACTCCGGTGATGGCCCCGCACGTCTTGAAGGATGATGTTCTCGTTGTACCTTTTTTTTTTTTTTTTTTCTTTTTTTTCTGAAACTGAGGCAATCTCTCCTTTTTTTTCACCTTCTTTCTCCACCTCCGAGGGCGCGTTTTTGTGTTTTTGCGTTTGGGTGATTTTTCCGTATCATCTTCTTTTTGCTTTTTTTCTTTTTCTTGTTTTTGGATTCGTGTACGCATTTGGGTTTTTGTTTGTTTCATCCCGCTTCCTTTTCTCTTATCCCACGATTATTATTATTATTATTTTTACTTTTACTTTTACTTTGTAGTCAATGAGTGTACAACGCGTGTCGGAATGCTCCTGGATGGAGGACATGGAGTTCTACAAGAACACTCTGTATCAGCGGGTCCAGGAGTGCCCAATATCAATCACGCCAGGCACCGAGATGATACGTTTTTTGCGGAATGAACTTATTCGGGCCGAAAAGAACGATGAGTCTGCGGAGTACCGGCTGGTTGTTGGGGATATGTTCAAAGTGGTGACGGATTCCTTAGTGTCTGCGGTTCATCGGAGTGCTCCGTATACCCACATTGATAGCAGCGCCCCAAGGGATTATCACGTCACGAAGGACGAGGACGAACTCCTGATGGTGGATGGCATCTTTGACTCCGACGAGGAGGGCGACGCCGACAGTGAGACCGTGACCAAGCCGTCGATAAAGGAGAAGGAACAAAAACAACGAAAAAGGGAGGAACTAAGAAAGAGGCGGGAGGAGGAAGAGGAAATGCTTGTCAAGCAAAATAAAGTACCTGATGATAAAGGGGGGCTCTTAAATACGTTGGGTCCGTATGCCGCACCGCGTCTCACAGTTAGAGCCTCCACGTTCACTTTCCCGAGTCGAAAGTCTTTGGAGCAGCGTACCGCCCTCCCCTCCCCCGGGTCTTCATCCGAGGAGGATGACAATGATGACGAGGAGGAAAATGTGGGAGGCGGCGTTTCATCGTCCTTCTCATCCGGTGGTGGCGAGGCTGTAGCCCACCTGACGGCTTTTATGAAGCCCCTGTCGATGGACTCTCTGAAAAAAGTCAGTGAAAGTGCAAAGGTAAAGATAAAACCCTCATCTTCAAACAGGGAGTACATCACTCAGATCGTCAAGACAGCTGTAAGACTTGGGTGCGAAAAGGCATGCGTCTTGATGGATAAACATAAAATAATTGAGGAGATGACAAATCACGTTCAGGCCGGCCCTCTGCACACCGCAGCCAGCATCGACTTTCTGCAATCCCTTCCAGATCAACTAAAACATGCTTTAGGTCACATTTTGGGTGTCTGGGAAGAGAGTCCCCAGGTGGAAGCCATGTGGGAGCGCATGGTGGCCATGGGTTTCTTGGCAGTTTTAACGAACCTTCGCCTAAAGCCGCTCAAGAAGATTGCGACGGAGTTAGGTGTGTCCATGCCAGACACACATTCCACCGAGAAGTGCTGTGAAACCATCATGTTTGCTGCCTTTCCTCGGGAACGTTTGCGGGCAAAAAATTCGCGTTCCAAGAGGCAAAAGACGCTCAATTTTACGGTTCCGCCATCTGGCATGCGATGTAAAGGGCATATGGGCTTTATCACGTTTCAGGTGGAGAATGTTTCCATTCTACCAAAAGACAATGAACGTCGCTACTCACCGGAGTTTGAGTTTGGTAAACTGAAATGGAGTCTTCTTTGTATGGCGAACAAGGAGTTTTTGGCTCTTTACTTGTGCCAGACCGGTAGTGTCTTCTGCAAGTTTTTGATAACAGTGTTGAATCACGTGAATGTGGACGACTCCATCTGCAATGAAGGAACACAACGTTTTTCGACACGATCACAAGAAAATGACTGGGGGTTTAATACGGTGATCAAGTTTGAAGAGCTTCTGAACCCAAAAAGGGGGTTTTGGCAGGAAGAGGGCGATAGCGTCACAATCGAGGTTGGCATTGTACTTGTGGAGACGCCGAAGCCACTGAGTCTTGCGAAAAACGCGTCGAATAAGGACAAGCAGACGGGGCCCAAGGTGGATGAAAAGGCGATGCGGCAGCTCATTGAGGACGAGAAGATGGCACAGATGAAGAAGCGCATCAAACAAGAGATGGCCAAATTGACAAGGGATGGGGAGAAGGCGCGGAAAGACATTGCGCAGCGGGCTGCAAAAGGGTTTCACGACTTGATGGAGCGTTTCAAGGCAGAAAAGCAACGCATCGTCAAGGAGCTCGCGGAGCGCGAACGGCGGGAGCAGCAGGAACGTCAGCGCGAGCTTGAGATTATCAGGCAGGCGCAGGAGCAGAACGCCGAAATGAGGCGTCGCATCGAAGAACTAAAGAAGGAAAGCGTCAATTTGTCAAGGGAAAAGAAGGAACTAACGCAGGCGACAAAAGAACTAAAAAAGGCAGGCGAGAAGTATGCTCAGGAGCTCAATGCAATCAACGAGAAGAAGGCGTCGCTTCAACAGAAAGTGAAGCATCAAGAAAAGAGAATTGCTGCAGTGCAAAAACAAATCGGCGATCTGCGTCGGGAGGAGCCGCTTAATCCATTGTCTTCCGATGATGAGGCGAACGTGAGCGATGACAGTGAAATCATGTCTCGACTAAAAGAATCCTTTGAGCAGTATATCGGCTTGGACGGCAAAGGCGTGTGATGCGCACGTCGGCCCCCTTTTGGCAGGAAACGAAGCCGCTTCACCCTCATAGCAGAGGTGCTGCACACACTCCAAAAAAAAAAAAAAAATAAAAATAAAAAAAAAATTAAAACAGAAGAACAAAAAACAAAACAAAACGAAAATCAGACTTTTTTCTTTTCTTCTCCCTCGTAACCCCCCCTTTTTTTTTTCCCCTTAAATTGTTCGTGCAGCCTTTTTGTTTGTTTTGGTTTTCTTGTCGCTGTCGCTTTTATTGTTGTTGGTTCCAAAGCCATTTGTGCTCCTTTTTCCAAGTGGGAAGGGGAAAGAGAGAGAGGGAGGGAGAAATGTTATGAGAGTATTGAATGAAAATGCCGTGGCGAGACAAATACCCCTTTAAAAAACCTTTTTTATCTTTTGGGATGGGGCGAGGATTTGTTGTGTCTGTGGAAACAATTATTATTTTTTTTTTTTTCAATTATACATCTATGTATACATGCATATTTTTCTTTTTTACTTTGCTCAAGTGACGTTACGCATTTAGGCAGAACTTATTTATGTTCTTGGGCCGTCCAAAGTTTGCACCCTCTGCGGTAGCGGGTGCCATTTTTGGTTTGGCAGTTATGCTGCTAGTTGATGGCATCATTACGGCACAACATGAGGCGAACGTTGCGCACCACGTCACTTTCACGATGTTTATGCCTGCACTTTTATCCGTAGTTGGTTTTTTTGTGATGATTCTTATCTCTCCTGTGGAGGTGAAAAACGATGTGCCAAGGGCCAAAGCAGGGCTTTTTATTAGTTGGATTCTTTGTTTTGGCTCCTCTGTCGCCGCGCTTGTATTGTGCAAGTTGAAGTTTGCGGGGCTGCAGGAGCGTGAGCGTTCCGTTCCGGGGGTGGCGGTGGTGGGTTTTACTAGTCTTACGCCACTTGCCGGTGCCATCCTTTGGTGGGGCAAGCAGTCGTTGCTAGACGACTATTAGGGTGTGAGTTTTCGACAAGGCGACGTGCGTGTTTTGGGGTCTATACGGCTTGGCATTGGCGGGGTGTTTGGGTTGCCATGTATTGTTTGTCGGATGTAACTTTTACGTTTAAATTATTTTTTTGCATTCTCTTTTTCTCCATCTCTCTTTTGTTCTCTCTTTATTTCTTTCTTTATAAAAAATATATATATTTGTACATTTATGGGAGTGCTGCGGGGAAATATTGTGGACGGAGGGGGGGGGGGGGGAAGTTTCGGCACGAAAAACAAAACAAACCGCAGGCAAATAAATCCCTAAATACTTGGGTGGGGGCGAGAGGGGATACTTCCAACGTGCCGTGATGCGAGCAATGCGGTCAGCAGGTGCTCTTTTGAGCTTTTGCCGCGGCTTTGACAGCTCCGCGAGGTTTGGTAAGGAGCTTGGATTTGGCCACAAGATGCGTGACATTCCCGTTCTCACGGGGAATCCACGACCCGTTGCGAGGGAGGAGGAGTGGCGCTGCGCGTACAAGCTTACCGAGCGCATGGAAGACGTCGTCAGAGATGTCCTACGGAAGGACGGTTGGAGTGAAGTTGAGGTGCAGCGGGAAATGGAACAGATGTTTGAGAGAAAAGTCCACAACACCCGCTCTTCTTTAAACACGTGGACGACTGTTGAAGAGTTTCAGCGGACGCCTTGGTACCGTCGATATAAGCCGACAGACACATGTGTTGCCAAATTCATCTCTTACGAGGTGATTAAACTGCTGGAACAGGCGTTAATCCCCCCATCGCTAAGGACAGATCCTTATGCGCATCTTCGGAAGCGTCACATGGAGGACAACTGGATGAATGACAGATTTTCGGAAGAGTCCGCAAAGTACATAACACGAGAGCGGCTGGCCAAACAGACTAAGGGCCTATCCGGGTATGGCCAAGTAACCCGAAGAAAGTTTTTGGAGTTTGATCAAAAGTTTAAGGCATCATACAACGGAAAACAACGTGTGAATGAGTCCTACTCCGCATGGCTGCAGTCCCTCAATGATAAGTGAAAACTGGGAAAGTTTATTCATCCTGACAATCGGGACCATCGAGTCTGTTTTTTTTTTTTTTTTTGTATTATTGATTTTACGAGTGAACTTTAGCCATTATACATATTGATGGGATTTTTTTTTCCTCTGAATTTATTGGAGTGCTGTGCGTCGCTGCAGACAAAAATTTTTTTTTTTTTTGTTTAATTGAGGGCTCTAGTGGAAATGACATTGAGGAGGCCGGATTCCGGCAAACAGCTGCGGAAGGAAAAGGTGGAGCATTCCAATGTGCGTGCCGACACCGAAGACGACGTGTCTCCATTGAATAAGCGTTATCAAGACGTGGAGGAGCGTCGTCTGAAGGAGTGGGAAAATTATCAGAGAAGCCATCGCTCGACGGAGGAGCAGCAATCGTCGCGCGCATTTTTGGACATATCTATTGGCGATGTTCTTGCTGGGCGACTAGTTTTGGAGCTCTTTGAGGATACGGTTCCCAATACGGTGCTCAACTTTCGGTCCTTAATTACGGGATCGTGTGGTGTGGATCCCGTCACCGGCGTGAGACTGGACTACCTGTACACGCCAGTGCACCGTGTGGATCGTGCGAGGAAACTCATTCTTCTGGGCGAGCTGGAATCTCTTAACGTCTCCTCCACTGGCACCCCCATTCAGGACGAGGGGTATGGAAAATGCCACTCGGAGCGGGGGCTGCTTACCATGGTCTCTGACGGTCCACACACAAGCGGCTCCGTTTTTGGTATTACTTTGGGTCCCTCACGATCTCTCGACTTTAAACAAGTTGTCTTTGGGAAAGCCGTTGACGATCTCACGTTGCTGGAAAAGCTAGAGAGCCTTCCGCTCGATGCTGTGGGTCATCCCATTGTACCAGCTGTAGTCACTTTTTGCGGCGCACTGACAGGTCCCAAGCCGTCCGGCAAGTTTGTATGCACGAGGGAGGTCGATGGGAACACGGTGGGTGATGGCGCTGCTGCTGCTGCTGCTGAAAAAGAAGAAGAAGAGGGGTGATGGGTTTTAGCACATCTCTTTTTTAAAGCGGTGACGAGGAGCCATTTTCACATTCTTATTTTATTCTCTCAGAATCTAACCAAACAACAACAAAAGGAAGCAAAGACTGATTGGTTGGACTGTTTAGCCACCGATGTAAATGAGTCGAGAGGAAAAGAACAAAACAGTTCATTTTACTTGTTTTTCCGGGATTGGGCATCCAGAACTTGTGTTTTTTTTTTTTTTTCTTTTTTTTTTTGTGTGTGTGTGTGGCTCAAAGAAATTGCGCCAAAACGATGTGATTTCTTAAAAAGAAAAAAAAGTATTTTTCCACAATGTGTGAGAAGCCATGATTATGATTTTATTATCCTTTTCTTTTCTTTTCTTTTTCTTTTTCTTTTCTTTTGCCGCATGCATGTATTTATGTGTGGCACCACTTTCTCTTTTTTGCCTTATAAAAGCAACAAAAGTAGAAATTGTGCATGGAGTATCTGAGGGGCTTCGCCGTTGGATCCCAGTGGCATCTGCCGTGATGCAGGGACTCAAGCGGAGACGCTTTATTTAGTGATGGTTTACGCGTGAAATAAATGTATGGTTCCTCCAGGAAGAACTGGGCAGCTCCCACCAGAACAAGTCGGAGGGTGGAGCGAACTGTTTGTCTGTGTGTGTGTGTGGGGGGGGGGGGGGTTTCTGACGTCTTTCTGAGTAACCGGCTACTTGGCGGCGCGGAACTAAAAAGACACTCGTTGAATAAATTGACGCTGAACCGAAAAAATTAATAAAAGACGACTCCTCCATGCGTGTGTGTGTGTGTGTGTGTGTGTGTCTTCTCTGCTGCTGCTGGGGCTCTGTACGGAGAAACCGCAGTGGGGAGTTTCTGTCACCAGCGTCAGCAATATGTGCCGCTCCACGCACCCTCCGAAATAATTGACGTTTTGCGTGGACGTATTTTTTGTTTTATTTTTTATTTTTATTTTTATTTGCGTTTTAGAACGACAACTTTTCTGGGAGCGTGGGAAAAGACTGTTTGCGAGAGTTTTGACCACCTAACTTAATATATCCTGATGAGACGAATATAATTAATGTACGATTTTATTTTTGTTTTTATTTTTATTTGTGAATTTTTGGATGACCGCGACGGAAGGAGTGAAGGAACCGTGACGGCGGTAAGACGAGTGTATTCCTTATTTAAATTTTTGTTTTGGCCTTCTTACACTCTTTGATGCTCACTTCGCGGCGGGGTCTTGTGGCCGGAGGACTTTAAATGCTGCCATGTCGCAAGTAACAAAAAATATCTCCAGTCCGAATAGAGTGCGGCATGTCACGGTTAGTGGCTTCCCGAATGCATACGTGTGTATTTATATGGAATAAACATTGAGGGTGTGGTGAAGCCACTGCCTCTTGATTGCTCCCTTATTTTTCATCCTATTTAATTTATTTATATAATTTCAGTATCCGGCAAGCGGCATCAACGAATGGTCTGTCCATTTATTTCTTTTACTTATTTTGGTGTGGTGCACCGCCTTCCTCTCACTTTCTTGTGTTTTCTTGTATATTGGCAGAGCCTCTTGAGCGGAGCGGGACCCATTTTTTGTTTCCGTCCACCGACAGCTGACGCTCTCGGCGCTGGCTGCTACGCCGATGAAGAATAAAAAAAAAATAATGGTAATCACGGAGGCACACTGGGAGTCCTAGTGGAATATGAATGACATGTGGACACGGGGATTTGAGCGGCTGAAAAAAACTTCTCTTCTTTTTTATTTTCTGCAAGAATAATTAATGGGAAACAAATATCAATGCTTTTTTAATTTAGCAGATATATTGTGGTTTGCCGCTGCTGGGGCTGAGGTGCAGTCACGAGTTTCAGCAGTCCTCTTCTTCCTCCATTTCCCCTGCACCTCTGCTGTGTGTTTCCGTGTCTATTCACATGTTTTTCCCTCATTTGTTGCCTCTTTTTTTTTGCGTACATGCAGGCACACGCACACGATGCACAAAATATTGCGCTGTCCATGGACGATCGCCAATCATTTCTCTGCTGGTTTTCTTCTGCCGCTTTCTTCTGTGGACATGAAGAAGAGAGGGACACCGGGAGGGGGGCACGTTGCGGTTCCCTTTCATTTTGTCTGCAGCGCACCGCGTGCAGCACGATTGCTTTGATATGCAGTACCGCCCGGCACATCGATGCTGCACGGGGTGAGAGACTCCTCTTTTCGGCTGTTGGTGCACGTGATTGTGCGTCTGCGGTGGAGTTGGCCTTTTTGCGCGTTTGTGTCTCTTCTGTAGATGTGCGATGGCGGTAACGGTGGGTGAATGTTTTTGATTGCCCTTTTGTGCGTTGCTGTGGGTGACCCCTGCGGGGGTGCGCGTGGCCCCAAAACAAAGTTGTCCGAGGGCTCACCTCTCTGCACGATGGCCGCAGCGTGTGGCTGTCAATCTGTTCTCTCGAGAGATATGCCACGACGCTTTTACGTGTGTGTTGCTTCGGGGACAATGTGCCGGCGGCTGTGCGATTGCCGAATGGAGGGAGAGGAGCGGAGGGAAGTACGTGAGCGCAGCGGTCAGGAGTCGCGCTGGGTGTCTCGCCGCGGAGGGCACTGCCCACCCAACGCAGCGCCGCTCCTGTCGGGCACCCTCTCTCACTCTCTGCAGCATTGTATTCGACGCCGGCAGCACGCAGCGTGGCAGCGGATGCCGACACCGCCACGAGTGCGACCGGAAGGGAACACACCTGCTGTTGCGTTTCGAGGGGGTCACACCGTGTGGCGCAGCGGCGTGCCCAAAACCTCCTCGCGGAGTCCGCACACGACACCGGGCACTGGACGCGGGGTGTTTGCGTCGTGGAGGACACTGCGGTGGAGTTCCTCCATCCCTCCAGGTGGAAGGACGCCCGTTTTTACTTTCGTTCTTACCCATGAGAGGTTTTTTTTTTCTTTTTTTTTAGCTTAAGAACCCTTGCTGTGTTGGGGCGCGGCTTTGGAAAACCCATCACTTTTGATGGTGGGCTTGTGCTTCCGTTCGATCTCTCCCTTTTACCACATTGTCGCTTTTTAAATATTTTGTGATGACGAGTGTTGTTGCAGAAGACACGCTGAGGCGCTGGGCTTCATTATCGATTCATTTATTTGATATATATATATATATATATTTTACCTGGTGCGGTTTGCGGTGTCTCTGATGACCTTCCCGCATGGAGGGTTTCATTGGGGCATCAGAGCTTTTTTGTGCGGACGGAAGGCCAAGGACGTTATCCATGCGTGGCCATTGCGCTGGAAGGAGTCTTTTTTTTTGCACATTGACACGGAGCCATTTTTGCGCACCTTTTTTTCCTTTTATACTTCTTTTTCTTTCTTTCAGGAGATGCTCCCTTGGCTTTGTCTCCAACGGGATATGCGCAGAGTTACACGCATTTTAAAAACCGAAGCCACGAGCCTTTTTTGGAAAAGATGCCTTATCTTTCTTCTAACATTAAATTTGTTGTTTATGCTGATGTTTTTTTTTTTTTGGAGTGGAGTTCCTACTTGGCGACGATCCCGCGCATGGTTTTGGTGTTGGTCCGACCATGGCGGAATATATCCACTGCGTCGGGGAAAGGCTTCTGGTGGATCCAACGACACGGCAGCTGGGGGGAAATAACGGGACGGACGTTATCCCTTTGATGGTGGTCCCGCTGATGCTCGATCTGATGGACTTTCGGACGATGA